AAGAGGGCACCAGACCTCATTACAGATGGTTGTGAGCCACCATGTGGTTGCTGGGAATTGAACCCAGGACCTTTGGAAGAGCAGGCAATGCTCTTAACCACTGAGCCATCTCTCCAGCCCGATTCTGGACATCTTAGTAACGGGAATGGCCTAATATTTGGAGCCAAAGATATGAATTTAAGTCCTATATTTGCTGACTTTAAATCATAATTTCAAATTTCCCTCATCAAAAAAGGAGAATTATATTTACTTCTCAAAGTTGTAAATTTTAAATGTGTATCACATTTAATAAATACAGAACACTGCAAGCATTACTTATTAATACATAATCTAACTTAAGCTTTTAAGTTATTTGCTGGCATTTTTTCCTACTTTTCAAATAAAAGGTTTTTTTTTTTTTTTTAAGGAGTCCCTCAAGTATTCGTATGAAAAGCCTGCTGGGTCTCGGAAATAAATGCCAAAGCCACAAGTATAAGCAATTTTTAAAAGGCCCCCTAGGGGGCCACCTCTGTTATCTATAAATTCAACAAAGAGAAAGACTTTAAAACCAAGAAAGTATAGTTACCTCATGCACATTCCTCAAAGCTAGCCATGTAGAAACTCTTCACTGGCTGGAGTCAATGTGGGAAAAGCATGAAATAATTTAACTAAACCATATGCTTGCTGTACGTCCTGTAAGATGATTCTCATGGCTCTTAGTACTTGATATCCAACTATGCAGGTGACCTGTAAACATTTGGGGCACTCAACTATGTTAAAAGAAAACCCGTTAATCTTCGATGTAATGGAGCACCTGTGAGTCTTCTGAGTACGTGTTAGAATATAAGCTTACAGTGGACAGATGCTCTTAAATCTACCTCAGCGAACTAGCCCTCACCAAGTAAGAGATTTTCTTTTCAACTGGATGTGGTAGCACATGCCTATAAACTCAGGAAGGCCCCAGAGAACCTAGACAACAAAGAGGACCCTAAGAGAGACAAACACCGATATACATAGGAAGGTGAAAAAGACAAGATCTCCTGAGTATATTGGGAGTGTGGAGGTCATGGGAGAGAAGAGAAGGGGAGAGGGAAGGAAGGGAGGGAAGTAGAGAAAAATCTATAGTTCAATAAAAACAATAAAATAAAATAAATTAAAAAAAACTCAGAAAGGACTAAAAAGCCTGAGGCAGAAGGCACAGGAAGAAAGGGGGAAGCAAGGGGAAAGGGAAGAATGTGAAGAGGAAAGGGGAGGAAAGAAGGATTTTCAGCAGTGGCACTTGATTGTCCTTATTTATTTATTTACATACTTATTTATTTTCATACTTATTTATTTATTTTGGTTTTTCAAGGCAGGGTTTTTCTGCAGCTTTGGAGACCAGGCTGGCCTTGAACTCACAGAGATCCGCCTGCCTCTGCCTCCCGAGTGCTGGGATTAAAGCACTGGGCCACCACTGCCCAGCTCATTGATTGTGCTTAGTTAAGCTCTCTCACCTAGACGGAACTTTGTGCTGCCAGTTCCGGTTCACACAGTAGGCAGAAGAAGCACACTCTGAAGCATCAACAAAACCAAAACTACCAAAACCAAATTTCTCTAAGAAACAGTATCTTGGAGGCTGGAGAGATGGCTCAGAGGTTAAGAGCACTGACTGCTCTTCCAGAGGTCCTGAGTTCAAATCCCAGCAACCATATGGTGGCTCACAACCATCTGTAATGAGATCTGGTGCCCTCTTCTGGCCTGCAGGCATACATGGAGGCTGAACACTATGTATATAATAAATAATCTTAAAAAAAAGAAGAAAGAAACAGTATCTTGGGTTTGGAGGTAGCAGAGAAGACTTAGCAGTTATGAGCACTTGCTGATTTTCAAAGGACCAGAGTTTATTTTCCACCACCAACCACGTAAGACAACTCACAGCTGTATCAGGGGATCCAATACCTTCCTCTGGCCTTCTCAGGTATGTACACACACACACACACACACACACACACACACACAATTTTTTAAACACACATAATTTTTTAAATTTATTCTTTATTTTTGATTTTTCAAGACCAGGTTTCTTTTGTAGCCCTCACTGTCCTAGAACTCGCTCTGTAGACCATGCTAGTCTTGAACTCAGAGATTCACCTGCCTCTGCCTCCCAAGTGCTGGGATTAAAGGCAAGCACTACTACTGCTCATCCACATAAGTTTTGTTGTTGTTGTTTTTATATCCCAAAATTTCCCCCTCCCTCCTCTTCTCCCAGTCCCTCCCCGCAACTCCCCCCCCCCAATCCACTCCTCCTCCTCCGTCTCTTCAGAAACCAGAGGGCCTCCCATGGATACCAGCCAGCCACCGTATATCAAGTTGCAGTGAGACCAGGCAAGTCATCTTCTATTAAGGCTGGATGAAGCAATCCAGAAAGAGGAATGGGTTCCAAAAGCACACAACAGAGTCAGAGACAGCCTCTACTCCCATTGTAGAGTTTCACATGAAGACCAAGTTACACAACTGTAATAATAAACGTGCAGAGGACGTAGGTCAGTTCCATGCAGGCTCCCCAGATGTCAGTTCAGTCTCTGTAAGCCTTTATGAGCCCAGGTTAGTTGATTCTGTGGGTTTTCTTGTAGTGTCCTTTACCCTACTGGCTCCTACAATCTTTGTTCCCCTTCTTCCACAGGATTCCAGAGCTCTGCCTAATGTGTGGCTGTGGGTCTATGCGTCTGTTTCTATCAGCTGCTGGGTGGCACCTCTCTGATGACAGTCTAATGAGTATAGCAGAATGTCGTTAGGGATCATTTTTTTTTTTTTTTTTTGCCAGTCCTATTTGGTTCTCTCCTAGGTCTCTGCTGTAACCCGCCTCTGGGTCCTGGTCCTCTCATGGTAGGCCACATATGTTTTTAAAATGAATCTAAGAAGTTAGTGTTTTAAGAAGGGCAACTGAAGTCATAAGAAGAGCAGAATTTTATCGAACTGCTTTTACTCCTTTTTAAATTATTCGTGTACTTATTTATTTTGAGACAGGGTATCTCTATGTAGCCCTACCATGGAACTCACAGTGTAGATCAGGCTGGCTTTGAACTCAGAGATCTGCTGGCCCTGGCCTTCCAACTGCTTTTTATTTCTTTACATATTACCTGTGGCCAATGGGATGTTAAAATCTTCATTCTTAAGGCGTGTGTGTGTGTGTGTGTGTGTGTGTGTGTGTGTGTGGTTTTTTGAGACAGGGTTTCTCTGTAGCTTTAGAGCCTGTCCTGGAACTAGCTCTTGTAGACCAGGATGGCCTCGAAATCACAGAGATCCGCCTGCCTCTGCCTTCTAAGTGCTGGCATTAAAGGCATGAGCCACCACCACCCAGCACAAAAACTCTTAATACAAAAAGGTAGTGTTGCATACTTGTAATCCAGCCTTACCAGGCTGATGCACAATCATAAGTACTAAACCAGCCTGAGATGCATAAGAAGCCGTAGGCTAGGCTGGATAAAAGCACCCTAAACCATGAGTTTTCTTTACTCAGGTATTTGGCAAAGATATTTTATTTGATGAAAGTCAGAACACATGTACACTCATTTTTTTACAGAATGCATACAATTTTATTCTTTCTCATTACCATGTTTTCCCCAAGCAAGATGCCATTACATTCTAGAAGGTAATGTTTCTAAGTTGGATTAGTGCCAGTTATCACTTTAACAGTGCCAATGTCCTATCCCAGTTCCCAGAATAATCGCGTGTACAGTATGCATGGAATCCTAAATACTATAATGTTAAAAGTATCTGTTTTTTAAGGAGTGCATTTCTTTCATTGTTCTTGCCTGATTCACAATATACAGCTTTAGTTATGCCAGAAACAGCTCGGATTTTTTTTCCTTAACAATTTAAAGAAACACTGCCAAATTCTTGCTGGTTTCAACTTTCCCTAACAGCCAACCTGTTTCGAGATGATTATCCAGATGTCTCTGGCTTGTTTTTAATACTTCCACTTTACTCCATGGAACTGGGAACAGATGTTGCTTGAGGATATATGTGCCATGGCTGGTTCTAATTAGACAACTTGTCATTTTTTCCTTAGTTTCATTTTGATCACGGGATGCATCATACATCCATGCTGGTTTGTTTGCTTGCTTTTTAAGAAGAGAGAGGGCAGTAATCTCACGTACCTAAAAGAGAACCTCAAAAATACAGAAAATTGGTGCTGGATGTGAAATAAATAGGGGTAGACTTATTTTACACTTAGACCACCACCCCCACCTAAAAACAACCAAGCCTCCATCTAGTTAAATTCCAAAACAAAGGCATAGCCTTGTTAGAAAACATTTCTAACTTACTGTAAATTTTGCTTAAAATTAATCGCAGTTCTCCCTTTCCCTCAAGAACAGACATCACCTATCCCGTAACTTTAATGCTTCGAAGTTCGTTATGATTTCTTGTAACATACTTTCCGTTCTCCTACAACCAGTCTACAAGACTTCTCTACTGTCTGGTGCTGTCAGTCAGGTCGCTTCTGCAGCCCTGGCAATGCCCTGACAGGTGCCAAGGCCTGTGCTGGAGCAGAGGAGTCCAGCCATAGCGCGCTCCCGGAGGAGGCGGAAGCCCCGAAGCCCCAGGCCAGGCCGCTCGAACTCGGCGAACCTGGCCGGGGAGCGCGGAGGCGGTGGAGCTGCTCGGCTCCTTCCGAGGAGAATCCGCCGGCGCCCGAGTGCTCTCCGCCCGCCAGCAGCAGGGCCGCGGCGCCTCTAGGGCCTCGGCCCGCGCTGGGTTGCTACCATCGGGGTACCTCCCGGTAGGGGCTCGGCGTCGCGGACGGCGGCCAGCCAGCCCCGAGCCAGCAGGCCCGTCCGGGCGGCACCGATCCCGCTACGGCAGGGTTGGCAGGCGGAGCCCGCGGGCAGGAGCTGCGGCGCCGACCCGCGCACCCAGGCCCAGCGCGGGCCGAGGAGAGCGCCGGGCCGGGCGGGGGCGGAGCGAGCGCGCGGCCGGCTAGTGCGCCGCCAGGGCGGAGGGCGGGGCGTGGGCGGTGCCCGGCCTTCCCGCTCCCGCGGCGCGCTAACTCCGCCGAGCCTCCTTAAAACTCTGCCGTTAAAATGGGGGCGGGTTTTTCAACTCAAAAAGCGCTCAATTTTTTTCTTTTCAAAAAAAGCTGATGAGGTCGGAAAAAAGGGATAAGAAACCGGCACCGTCTCTGCAGAGGCAACCGAAGCAGCAGTTGCTTCAGAGGAAAAAGAAGCAAAAGAGGGAGGGAAGGGAAAGATCCTAAAGAGGGAAGACGCGCAAGTGCCTGTAGCGGGGAAAGGAGCAGCGATCAGAGATTTTGGGGAGTCGGACTACAAAAGAAACTGTCAGCCGCGGCTCGCGAGGGACCGGCGCTGCTTGATTCGGCTCGGGGACCCAGCTGGCTGGCAGCCGCTGCCTTGTCCGCGGCACAGACTAGGGACACAGGCCGGAGGACCACGGAGAACTGACCAAGTGGCACCGAGCTCCCCAGCTGCTGGACGGACGCCAAGAAATCGGCGGGATTGGCTGCGCCCGGGAATTGTAGCGACCGCCCGTACTTCTAAGGACCCTTCCCATCACCGGAGGCACCCGGAAAATCGGGAAAGAGGGAAAGACCGCTGTAGAGGCGACGGCCACCGCTCAGTGAGCGCTTGCAGTGGAGAGCCTGAGCTAGCTCGGTCGTAGGCGGGAAGTTACTGGCGAGCTGGCCCGGTACAGCCGCGATGCTACGGCAAGCTGCCCCAGCGGCTGGAGCCCGGTAGACGCGTCTCTCGTCGCTCTGCTCTTTCTTCAGGCTGCCGGGAGCCTCGGGACCCGGCGGGACCGGCATGACGGGCTTGGCGGGGGTCTGCCGCGCGCCCACCAGCCTCCGGAGACCTGCGCCCTGCCCGGCTCCCACGGCCTCTGAGGCTCGGCAGCCCGGCGGTCGGGCTCCGGGGGCTCTTTTGAAGACGCCGAGCCCGCTGGGGGGTCGTTGAGACCCGAGAGTTGAGGGCCACGGAACTGTTGCTCCGATCTGCCTTGGGCGATCATCTTTTAACCCCCCCAGCACGTCAGCATCCAGCCACCGCGGCGCTCTCCTAGCGAGCAGCACTCGGGACTACCCCCTTCACCGAGACGGATGGAAAGCGAGTCCTGCGGAGGACCTGCTCCTGAAGTTCTGCCTCAAGTCACCATCGTGAACAAGGGTGGGTTAATGCCTTTTCTTCTCTCCAATACTTTTTCTTCCGCAGTGTTTTCTGAGCTGACCTAGTCCCTTAAGTCTCCGCACATCCTCCTCACAGAGCTGTGAAGCTTAGGTACGTGACAGCTCTGCCTACATCTTACGTCCAGAATGCCTGTGTGTCTGTATGTGTCTCTGTTGAATCGCCAGAATTCTTCTTAGGGGTTAAGCTAAAAAGCTAGGAGAAGAGCCCCTCTCCAATGGGCTCAGTTTTGCTGAATAATCACGTGTGAATCGAGGGGCGGGCTTTTGGCAGGCCGACCTTACTAGTATTTACTACCAAGCTCTACTCCAGATTAACCATCCCAGTCCTTCTGTCAGCCTCCGATGCCATCATGCAGCCTGATTAAGAGCCAAGGAAAGGGGAAAAGGAGAAGCAACTAATCGTCTTTTCCCGATCGTCAGGACCCTAAAGAATGGCCGAGCCTTGGGGGAACGAGTTGGCGTCCGCAGCTGCCAGGGGGGACCTAGAGCAACTTACTAGTTTGTTGCAAAATAATGTAAACGTCAACGCTCAAAATGGATTTGGGAGAACTGCGCTGCAGGTTGGTATTCACAGAGGTGGGGAAAACAAGTTAATAAGGTTGCCTGGGTTTCTAAAGTGCCAACTTTCATGTTTCGAGGGGTACAGATCTTCACCGTTTTAAAACCTACTTGGTTGCCATATTTTATATCTTTAAGTGGATCCAACTCCCCAAAATGACGTACTTTGGAGAAACTCGTCAAATCCAATAACATCCTCAATATGAAGAGAACCCTAGGTTTGGTCATAATTTTTGAAATGTTTTTGTGACATTGGAGATTTTAAAGTAGTCTTAGCGTCGAAATCTGTTTGTTTTGTGCTGTGTTGTTTTAGATAGCTCTTTGAACACATTATTATGGTGATTATTTGAAGTGAATACACAGCTAATAGTGGTTTTCACCTATTTTGTACCCAATAGTTGACTTTAAAGTTAATTTCCTTGACTACTAGGAAGTATGTTTTCCCTTCAGCTGCTTTATATCTTAACAAACGACCTTTCCTCGTCTGGAATGGGATAGCCTGGGCACCAGGACAGGATGTACCTTTCACAGTTAACATCATACCTACTGTTCAGGAGTGAGGAGAAATGAAAAGCTGAATTTTCTAATCAGAGCCGAGCAGTAGTGTTTTGATTATCCCCGTGGTCATGCGGTGCTATGCTCTAATTTTCAGTAATTAGGTTTACAGGCAGCAACTGACACATGTTCAGCTGCCAAGGATGTACCTGATAATATTTTCCCCCCTCCAAATGTTGTCATGTAACTTTGCTGAAAGGCTTAGAAACAAACAAAAAAATGGGACAGTGATCTCCAGGGGTTGCTTTCATTGTGTTCTGATGGTACTCCTGGGAGCTCTTCCTATCTCGAGCAGCTTTTGAAAACCCACTGGGGTAAAGGCAGCAGAGCTTTGTTTCTGTTTTAAAAATTAGAAATGTCAGTGTCAGGAGATGCCACAGTGGAAGCTCACGTGGGCTGTGTGCTTTAGATCAGAGTACAGCTGGCCTTGCAGAGTTTTCACTGTAGAGACAGCTTATGCAGAGATACTAAAACATTTATCTTGATTCAGGTAGATTAAATAAGGAAGGGTTTTGTTTTTGTTTCACCAACTAAGACTTGTGTTCTGGTTTGGTGATGGTAGCAATGCCATAAATTCCAGATCCTGAAAGGTTTGCTGTTGAAAATCGGAAGATTAGTGGTCAGTTTCACAACGTAAGAGCCACTTCATCCATGTTCAGAAGAGGACAGTACAGAATCTTTTACAAACAGGACAGCTGGACAATTAAGATAATTAAATGTTGACAAGCATCTAAAAATAACTATCCACTTATGTTTGTATTAACAAACTTAGATAATACCCACTTATTATAGCTTAATATCAGTACAGATAATGAGGCATACACACACAAATAGGAGTCTTTTTCAGTATACATAATCCTGACTCTGAAATCGTGTCATCAGAAAGAACTTTCTTTAGAAACATTCGTAATATTACTATCACTTTCTGCCAAGGATGACAAACTTTAACCTGTGATTATGTTTCTTACTCATCTGCAGAAGCCTTTTCCCTGCGCTTCTGTCTGCAGTCAGAATAATCACGGGCCTTCTTCTCGCACATCTGCTCTGAGAGATCTAAGGTCTCTATTTCTTGTTTTGCTCACCTTAACTCTTTAAATGTGACTAAGGCAAAAAATTAAATTAGACTGTATTAATTTGTAATAACCAGAAAATATATTTCAGGAGGGTTCTGGAAAAATAAATTTTGGGTCATTTTTCTACTTCCCTAAATGAAAAGGTGAAAGGGTTTTATTAAAGAGGAAATTTAATATCATGACAAAGTGTGTAATTTACACTTATAAAATATTCATTATAAATATATTTTATTAATTTTCAATTCTTTAAAAACCTTTTAAAGATATTAAACCAACTTTGTACATATTTTCAAGGGTATTACTTTTTGACTCTAATAAATACTGAATGTCTAGTAAGTAGCTCACTTTTTATTATATAACTTGGATTCGTATGAATATACTTCAATATAACTGAAACTAGTTCAAATGCTGGAATTTTCTGGCGTGTTAATAAGAATAAAATGTTTCACAAGTAAATGATATATATATATATTATAGTCTCAAATGCTGTTATGCCTAATTTTTACTGATGAGAGATCTGTAACAGCCATCTTCTCAAATATAATACATTTAAATAACAGTAAGTAAGTCTATAACATAAGTTATTTTGTGCCTTGACAGAAAGTATTGATAGTATATTCTGGCTTTCAAAACACTGTTAGCTTACAGATAGCTCTTCTTAAATGTGATGAGTACAAATGGAAATTCGGCAGGGTCACCAGCTGATTATTAAGTGACTCAGACCACAAGACAGGGCTGTCTGTTCCAACACACACACTGCATGTCTTACTTTTGCTTTTGCTCACTCGACTATCAGAAGGCTAGTTAGGTCTTTGGGAGTTTCTACTGATATGGTAGGATGGCTATTTTATTCTTTCCAAGATTGGCAGCCATGCAGTCATTTCCTCTCTGAAAGTAAACTGATATAATAAGCAATGTAGAACACAGTAGTTTAATTAATACCTTAATAACTCAGCAATATTCTGTAATTTGAAATGAATTTGTAATTTGAAATGAATTCTAATCGTGGAATGTTTCTAGTAGCCAATATTTATAGTCTGTAAAGAAAAAAAAACTCAATGCTTGAAAATTTCAGGCATTACCTATTTGGAAGGAACTTGTAAAACTAATCATTTAAGAAAATGTCAACTCTGAGATTCTAAAGGATCAGGTCTACACTAAATGACACTTATCTGGGGGGTTAAAGAAACCCAACATTATCTGTTTTCAGTAACTATTAGGAAATAAGTCTTCCCCATTTAATCTTCCAGAACCATACCCCAGGTTTGTTGTATGGGCATGAATGAGCAACTAGGAGTCTCCTTACTCAAATACCAAATTACGTTTCTTTTAGGGAATTCAAGAAGAAAAAAAATAATAAAAAGGCTACATAGGTTTTCGTGAATGATAAAGAACCAAATTAGCCATCACATTAGATAAAGAACCAAATTAGCCATCACATTTATTCACGTTGCAGAAATTCTGTTTATTGATCTATTTATCCCACCTCTGGGCTCATTCGGATATTGCATCAATAAGATGAATTTTGGTAATTTTTCTTCTATTTTTACCAACTGGTGCTTTCCTGCTACACCCCCTTCAGACTCTGGTATGGATGTCAATCAGGATAGGGCAGATAGAGGTCTTTAAAGACTGCTGCAGCTCGATCCCTGGAGGGATTCTCCCATCTCTAACTTCTTTCCTAGGTTATGAAACTTGGAAATCCGGAGATTGCCAGGAGACTTCTACTCAGAGGTGCTAATCCCAATCTGAAAGACCGAACTGGCTTCGCTGTCATTCATGATGCAGCCAGAGCAGGTTTCCTGGACACTGTGCGGGCCCTGCTGGAGTTTCAGGCCGACGTTAACATAGAAGATAATGAAGGAAACCTGCCCCTGCACTTGGCTGCCAAAGAAGGCCACCTCCCTGTGGTGGAGTTCCTGGTGAAGCACACAGCCAGCAACGTGGGGCATCGGAATCATAAGGGGGACACCGCCTTCGACGTGGCCAGGTTCTATGGAAGAAATGAGGTCATTAACCTGATGGAGGCAAATGGGGTCGGGGGAGCCACAAATCTACAGTGAGTGCGGGGAGGGCTTTCCCAAGTGGCCTTTACTTTGTCAGTTAGTTGGTTGGCTGTCCTGACTGGTTTACTATCATTGTTAAAATATAAGGTCTTGTTTTCTTTTTCTTATTTTGAGCAACTAGCTAAACCCTTTGAAATTGCCTAATTGGAAATCTCACTACAAGTTTATGAAATATTTAAACATCTTTTTCACTGTCAAAATTCTGATCTCTAACATGTAATTGCAAATAGCTACGCCTTTCTTCTGGATATTTTATCTGTGATTTTTTTTTCTTTGCTTCCCTTTGCCAGTCTCAGCATCTGTCCTGTAGCCCTTGTTTTAAACATTACTTGTCTGATGCATCTTTGCCTAATTAAAGCACATCTTCAGAGGAGGACCACATTTTCCTGTGATTTTTTTTTTTACTTCTTTATAACCTGCACACAACTTGCCACTTTGTAAGAAATGTGTTAAAAGTTCATAATACTCTTAAGGCTTAACATTAGAAAAGAGGACAGTGGAAATCTAGTTATATTGTGGTCACAGTGACGTTATTCCTTTTTTCCTGCCCCATGTGCCCCCCCCAATATTTTATTGACTAATTCCTCTTTTATTAGTATTTTGGCTTCAAAAAGGAATATGAACAGCATTTTTGAAGAACAGACTTGAAATTATTTGTGTGAATTCCTTGTAATGTCCAATCTTCCCTTTTTTCTCAAAATCAAGTCAACCAGCTGAAAGGGAGATTTCAGAAGTAGCTGTCTGAAAACAAACACCAGCTCTAAAAAGTCAGTGCTGAAAGCAACCACTGCGAAAGCGCTTCCCTTGGGTGGCTCTTTAATTGCTTAATGCATTTCTCAGACTTGTGCGACAAGTACACCAACCCAGCGCTGGCCTTTCCGCATGAGTTTCAAAATGCAAAACTACAGAATGTTTAAGTGTTAAAATACAAATGTCGGTGTTCATGATGGGAGACTAAAAAAAACTCAGCCAGAAAAAAACCAAAAGGTATATAAAGACCATAACTCCCTAGGGTCTGCAGAGTGAAAAGATGGGGACTTTGACCGTACTTAATAAGCAACTCCTCCGTATGGTACTTCATTTCTTTTTACATAGCCTTCTTTTCTAAATGGGTCTAAAATCTTTGGGGGGGGGCATTTTAGCTTAGAAAAATAAATTGTTGGGGAAACTAAACATTTCAAATTTGCAAAAGGATCTTCTCCACATCTAGTAGTAATGCTGCCTTATTAGTTAAAGAGAGTCTCCAAAGGATTTGGGTGCAGTCACCATTTATACATTTATAAATACTGTAGTCATGATTTGCCACACAAACAAAGATGTTTTATGTGAAAGTTCCCTCCTCTGCTTCATAAGCTCTCTGCCCTCAATTCAAAAAGAACAAAATACTTGAAGGTTTATTGAAGGGCACGGGCTCTGATGTCTGCCTCAGCAAGGACCGCGAGGGCTGCAGGCAAGTGGTTGTAAATAGCATATCTTCTGGTGGAGTAGTAAAGACTCTGGGATGAGAAGCATCAACATTTTCACTGTGGGGTTAAAATTTGCATTTCCTAAACTGAGTGCAATAAGATTTTTACTTCTGCCTCATTTAACTGCAGTTTTACATGAGTTTCTTTTTATTTTCAGTGGCAGGGTGAGATTAAACTTGGAAAGTTTTGAAGGTAGAAGAAGAGATGATCTGAAAGGAAAGTATCTCTAAGAATAGACTCAATACAGAAAGCATACAGTTTTAGTAAACTGAGTCTTTCCGAGGAGTAGCACTATTACTGAAAGTCGAGCTTTAAACCCCTTCTTACAAATTCCAACCATAAAGTTGGGCGATTCCAAATTTACAGCTTAATTGACTCACGTACCATGTCTCAGCATTTACTTTATCCCATGATGTAAAATCACCTTTTGCGCTTTCAAATACAGAGGCACGAGATGTCCATAAAGCAAAAGACAAGGACTGTAATTGCTTTGTGGTCTGAGCACAGCAGAGGGAGAGGCCGCCCTATCTTTCCATCAGGCTAAGATTTGCTAGGCATTAAAACATCTCCCCATTACCCTGACTCCTCGCAGGAAGTAGCTTTGCTAATCTGAGTATTTTAGAAATGAGTTCTGTGGTCCCCTCTAGGAAATATGAAAAGCTATGCAATCTCTCAAAAACCTCGACAGTACTCAGAACTCTTGAATAATCAGAGAAGGGAAGGGTACTACTGAGCTTAATGGGGGTCTAAATTGCATGGCGCTCAGGTCGGGAGAAGTCTGAATTTATTCAGGCACAGAGTAAGGATGAAAAATCTAATTGAATAGAGTGCCCGGAACCCCAGGGGACCCTGCTATATCAAAGATAGAGGTTATAAAGCAGAGATACAAGCTGAGTTTTCTCCAGTGTGCCTTAATCCATGTCGGGGAAACTCAGGACCAGCCTTGGTGCAATAAACTAAAACCATTTACACCTGCAAAAAGAGGGCGGGATTGTGCACTAACAGGGTCTCAGTCCACACTCTAAAACTGGAGTCACTAACTAAGATCTCTTTCCTCTCATTTCTCTGGTGAGTCAACAGGGTTGTTTGTTTGTTTGTTTGTTTTTAATGAACTTCAAGCAGTGGTGTGATGACCTCTTGCGTGTGCGCACACGCGCGCGCGTGCGCGCACACACATCACTGTGGGTACCTGACAAATACATAAAGTATTGTTTCCTGGGAAAGCAGTTTATTTGGCAATATGATACATTTATTTTATCTTGCTCATATTGGATGCTGGAATTTGTGGCAGGGGACTTTCAAGTTTTCAGTTGCTGGAATGGCGTTTTAGGCTTTCACCAGGGTCCAAGAAATACTTGGGGGGTGGGGATTACAGTGCTAGAGCGAGAAAGCGTCATACTTGAAAACCTCCCTGGCTGTTCTAAGCTACCTCGATGAAAAGAGTACAGGGGAGAAAGCCCTTAGTGTGTGTAGACTGCCGCTTTTACCCAGCTGTTCCTGCAAACCGTCCCACGCTGACACTTAGTGAGAGGCAGAAAAAAAAAATTCCGCCTGAGATGGGAGTAAAGCTCGCCCAGAGCCAATCTCAGCATCTGTGGAGGGGCTGCTAACACGTCTTTTGTGTCCCAGACTCAGACTCTGGCTGGGGAAGAAGCTGGCGCTCCTTCTGTGCGCACAGAAAAGCCCGAGGGTGGGGGTGGAGGAGCTACAAAACCGTTAGCTCACTTTTTTTTTCCGTCTTCGCAAAGGTCTCTTTTCTCTTCTCTTCCTGTCCAAATATTTCAAATTTCCGCGCCTTAAATAACAGTCCCCTTTTATTTAGTTAGTTTCCACGGCAGGTTTAGAGGCCGGCTGGTCACTGCCCCTCTATGGCCCCGGGGCTCCTCAGGCCCCTCGGGGCTCCTGCAACCCCCACATCACCCCGGGCCCAGCGCGCTGCACAGAGAGCGCCCGGGCGAGCCACAGCCCCAGTCCACCACGACCTCGCTTGACCTGGGTGTTCAGGCACCCGGAGCCATCGAGGCCGCCCCCAGCCCGGACGGGAGCCGGCCGTTCTCCCACCCCGACTTCCCTCCCCGAGTTTTAGGACCCTGCCCGGCTCCGGGCTTGGAAGTCCACAGCCCTGTGGCAGCAAAAGGCCAGGGGCGGGAGGAGAGCGGCTAGGAGGCCGGTGGCCGCAGTCCGCGCCAACCCCCAGCCGCGGGTAACCTTGAAGGCGCCCTGGAGAGTGCGCGCGCGGCGGTTGTGGCGAGCTGGCTCACCCCGCTGGGCGGGAGGCCGGAGCTGGGAGCGGGGAAGGGGGAAGCCGCCGGCCCCAGCGCCCAGGGAGTTGGGGGCGACCCTGACAGCCAGCTCCTCGCGCTGGCCCTGGGGCAGCCACCCGGCTGCACGGTGCTGGCCCCTGGGCTGCGGCCGGAGGGCGGCGCGCGAGCTGGGGCGAGCAGGCCGGTGAGCGCCTGGCTCTCCACGGAGGTGAGCTGGTGGCCCGAGCCGCAGACGGGCTGCAGCCACTCGGTGCCCCACGGCCACCAAAGCCAGCGCTCCCCTCCTCAGCTGTCATTGCCAGCTGAGGAGAGTCCGGCTCCCAGGCTGGCTAAGAGGCAAATTCTTCTCTGGCTTCTTAACCTTTTGGACTATTTGCAAAATTGCCCCATGGTTTTGCTTTTCCTCCGTGTTTTACTAGACATCCGGAACCGAAAATGCACGTTCATTTGGAAAGACCCCAGCCTGAATAGCGATCTTCAGGGCTGGGGAAGGTGTGCAGAAGAACACCCAGGAGTCTTAATTTTATTTTCTTTCAGTCTTAAGCGATGCCTCAGAAGAATCATCCTTCTCTCCCAACCTCCATATCTGGATATAGTCTTGGTAAAGGAAGACTTCTGCGAAATATTTTGCCATCTGTGTAGAAACAGTGTGTGGACCTTAGGTGTTTGAATGTGGTTTGGAATTTTCTGTGTTGTCTTTAATTCTCACCAGACATTTAAAAAAGAAAAAAGAAAAAGAAAAAAAAAGCCCAGCTTGGTAATGGCCGGCAAGTGAGCAAAGGTTATTCCTGCTACCACAGCACCTGCAAAAGCACAAGTGGAATTCACATATTTTGCTTCCTGTGTTTAAAAATGGATTCTGAACCTTCCAGAGACAACAGCACATAGAAGGAGGGGGACCTGAGCTGAAAACAGAGTTTGTACATTTTAAAAATTACACAGGTACTAGATACTAAAACTGTTTCACCTAACCTCCGTGTTTCTGTCTCACTGATCAAGGCAGAATTTTAACTTAGGCCTACTTAATAACTGTATATACAGCCCTTTTCTCTTCCCTCACACCCCACTCCCCAACCACCACCACCACCACCACACACACACACACACACACACACACACACACACACACACACAAATACAAAACAACCAGCCAAAAACAGCAGCTCTTTGGGAGAGGAAGTCAGAAACCTCCAATCTCTATCCAAATACACTTCATTTCTTCTGAGTACTCAGAAAAAAAAATTCTGCTTCCAACCAGGGCCAGGGAAGAAATAATTTACTGGGAACACAAACATTTAATTGGCATAATTAAAGTGATATTGTCTCTTAACCTGAAAATAATGGACAGTTTCTGAAGTTGCTAAGTAAAAATTCAGATTTCTTCCTGGAGATATTTGTACCCAGAGACTTCTGCTTTTAATATTTCACCAGTACAGCAAGTCTCTTAGAAAAGTCTGGAACTTTATCTTAACCACGTAGAGAGCAGTGTCATGTTGACAGATTTTATTTCTACGCCTTTGGTTTTCAAATTAGTTACGTAAATAATGGAAGTTACATATAAAGGCAGAATATTCCAACATCTTTTGATGTCGGATTTTTAACTTAGAAATGTAACCACATTATCAACCACAACACAACACTGTC